GACGAGGCTTTGTAGTTCCCTCCGTGACGAACGGCTAGGCTTCACGGCAAGAGGGACACCGGGTTTTGATCACGACGGCCAGACGCTTTGGCCGGTGCAAGTGGTGTAAGTCACTGTCAATCGGTGACTGGTGAACGACAGTAAGTGGCTTTGGATGAAAAGAATTTGGTTCTGCTATAGTGTTTCACCGGGGGAATTGATTATGGGAAATGGGATTTCATTGGTTTAAGAGATATTTTATTTATCTTACATTAGCTACAGTAGTTTAGCCTAAATGACTAAGGCTTAGATTTGGCTCCTCATGCTAAAAAAAATGTGGGTTCAAATCTCACAAACTACATTTATTTTTTTTATTTATTCTGCAATGAAAAAGGATGGGCAACTTTAAATTTGGGTCCCTAAACTTTCAGAAATTTCGAAAACTACCATAACATCTTCAAGATCTTATAAACTGAACTCCAAATTTAATTAAATGAATTTAATTAAAAATCAAGAGAAAATATGGGTGTTACAAGCAACAATGATTTAAAGTAAACTTTTTATGTTGTAAAGAAATTATCTGTCATCCGCATGAAAATTAACAAAACTTGGTTGCAATTCGAAGTAGTGATTGTGCTAGTAATCTGAAAGATAAATCAGTTTAACATTATTCAAACAATATTTATATTTTCGACAGCATAACTTCTTACACAAATAGTCCCTCGAGTATAGGATATTATTTTGTTGAGTCTATCGACTATTAAAAGTTATAAAATGGTCATCTGACTATAGGGAATTATTTTGTTGAGTCCCTCAACTATTAAAAGTTATAAAATGATCATTTGACTATTCACTATGATGCAAACTCGACATTTTCATTTAAAAAAATTAATGGTCGTCGAAGCTAGACATTAACATACTGACTAAGATATGATAGTCGTTTGAGGTTATGTATCAAATTTTATCATATTTCAGTCAGCAAGTTGACGTCCAGCTCAAACTGCCGTTAACTTTTTAACAAAAAGTGACGAGTTTGGAACATAATGAATAGTCAAGTGACAATTTTGTAACTTTTAATAATTGAGGGACTCAACAAAGTAACTCCCTAGAGTTTGAGGACCATTCTGTAAATTTTTAATTGTCAAATGACTCAATAAAATAATATCATGTAGTCATGGTACTATTTATGTACTTTACCCAAAAGAATGTTAACTTAGTGAGGAAGAGGAAAAGATTGTTTTGAGATCAAATTTGAAATTTAATATTAACTAAAATTTTATTTAAAATTGTTACTCACCAAGACATAAGATATATACAGAAGTAATTTAATTGTTACTCACGAAGGCATAGTATAAGACACATTCCAGTTGATCGAGCATAATTCTAATTATTTTGTTCCGAAGCAAAGATATCCATGGGACGATCGATTTGCCTTATTCAAATATTCACGACCGAGAAGTAAAAAGAGAAGGAAAGTTGGAATGTCACTCAACATCTCCCGACCTGATAGTACCCATTTTGGGAACGTCCAATGCCAAAGACACGGAATATGCTTATTTTGTTTGACTGTGAATATTAGTGTTTTGACTAGTCCGGTTTAACCGGTTCAATCGGGAATCGCTGCGTAGTCCGGTTCAATCGGGAACCGTTGCGTAGTCCGGTTCAATCTACACCGGTTGAACCGCTATTATTGAATCGGTCGAAACCGCTGAACCATTCGAACCGGACCGGCTAAAAACTGAAAAAAACCGCTAATTTTGTTTTTTTTTAAATTAAACCAAACGACGTCGTTTGTTAAACGAGCCAAGTCGAACTCGAGTATTGCTGAGCTAGACTCGAACTTGAAAACTTTAAAAGTAAGCTCAACTCGACTCAAACTCACGAGCTAAAAATTATCAAGTTCAACTCAAACTCGAAATATAATATTGAAACTTGAACTCGAAAAGGCTTGAACTCAAAAAAAAATTAGAAGCTCGATTGAAGCCTAAAATTAGAGCTTGATTGAAGTGAAAGAATAGTTCACTCAATGCTCACCAAAAGGCTCTATGATTTTGAATGTCAAATTACCTCTATTATTTATAGAAATTAGTTAGGATGTTCTTCTATGTTTCTTAGCCATGTGAGATTGTTTTGTTCTTATATTTTTACTCTTTAAACTTTTGGGATGTTCTTCTATGTTTCTTAGCTATGTGGGATTGTTTAAAAAAAATTAAACCAAACAATATCATTTTGTTAAAATTTTTTTAGCCCCAAATTTATTTTTTAAATTATAGTTATATAATTATATTTATTATTTAATATGTTTTACCTTAAATATTATGTTGTAGTTAATTTGAATCATTTTGTTTCACTTGATTGTATGGTTTTTAACTTATATATTTATGACTTACTTTGAATATGACTTGTAATATAAAAAATTATTTTTTATTAAATATTTTTGGTATTTTTATTTAATTTTTTAAATAATTATGACGTCGTCCGGTTCTTCCGATCGGTCGGACCGGTTCGACCGGTTGAACCAATAAATTGATAGCATGACCGGTTCGCTAACCGGTCCGATTTTGAAAACCATGGTGAATATTATATATAGAAAAATAAATTTGTGATAAATAATAAATAAAAGATTATTCCATTTCTCCAAATGACCCACGTCCAAGTTCCATAGATTTAGCAATTGTGCCGGCAAATAATAAAGAGGCACATAAGGTAACAAATAAAAAATGAACCTAATTATTATAAATCAAGTTAATAAATATTTCGAACAAATCTTGAAAGCAATAAAAAAAAATCCAATATAAAATATTCTTTCCAGTGTGGCAGGATATGATTAATTAGCTAACGTTTAAAAATTTAATATTGGTTCATTAGAACCTTATAAACAGATACACAAAACTCCTATTAATAGAAAATGAAACCCCTGCAGTGTAACAAAATAAATTTTGTAGGGATTTGAAGGTTTTTTTATTTCTAAAATTTTAAAACAAACAAAATTTAAACTTGATTTAATGGATTAGTTTCGACAACCCAATTAAAGTTTTTATGTATGTGCTCCCATATAGTATAAATATAAAAATTATTAATTATTATTATTATATTATTAATTATTTATCATTAAAAATCAGTCTATAGGAAGGCTACTCATGAAGACATAAACATTTTATTCCCATTTTGAATTTGTCGAAACCCGAATTAAAAACTCATGTTATGCAAATATATGTACACAGTGTACGAGGAAAACTCACACCTTTTATAAAAGAAAAAAACCTGAAACTTCTTTTATGAATTTTTTTGAAGCTGCTAAAAATTATGAAAAAAAAAATCATTTCAATTATTTACAAATGAAATGATGCATGAAAACTCAAAAAATGTTTATGATTTTTTTAAAAAAAAAAATCAGATAAAATAAGGAACCATAAATTAAATCCTAAATCTTAAATTTGTAGTTTTCAAAAATCAAAATAATACAAATATAACTCATGACTTAACTCTAAAAATTCTATTATATAATCGTAAAGCTGCTGAAACTGTTGTTCAGTTTGACATTAACTTTTTAATATATATATATATATATATTTTAAAAATGAAATTATCATCTATTATTTTCGATTAGACGTGACCAATCACGTATAAAATCACATTTTAAAAAATATTAGAATTCATTTTAAAAATGAAAATTTTACAATTTTGCGTTTAAAACCAGAGTAAAAATGTTGAATTCAGGAGTTGATCGTACGTGGAGAATATTAAAGAACTCTCGTTGCATTCAAAATTGATGTCTTGCTAATTTTTTTTATTTTCATTTTAAAAAGTTACCAATTATAATTAAATTTAAAATATGATCCTTTGAATATAAATACAAATTTAATTGATGTTTAATATGTTATTTAATCGAAGTTTAATATGTTATTGATTTTCTTAAAATAAACATTCCTTCATATTTGTATTCATATTCAATGTATCACATTATAAATTTAAATTTAAGTTCGTAACTTTTAAAAATCGAGATAACGTATAACTAATAAAGTATTAATTTTAGATGTCGTGGGTACCCTAATATTTCTCATACTTAACCAACTTTTAAATCTAACTTTTCTACTCTGGTTTTAAATATAAGCTCTTAACATTGTCCTTTTTAAAATAGATTTTCAAAAATCTTTTTATAAAGTTTGATTTTATAATTGATCGATAATGTTAGTCTAAAATAATCAATGACGACTCTGATTTTAAAACACGCGTTTATTTTCAAGAAAATTTAATCGTCGAACTAAGTTTCGGGCCTTGATGTTTATAGGCCGAATGACACTTTGATTAGGGTGTATAAAGTATAGGGTAAACTACACTGGTGCCACTTAACTATTATCGGAGTTTATTTTGACCACCGATATTTTGATTTGATCAAACAAATCACTAGAATATTTAAATGTTTCATTCAAGCCACTGTCCATTAACTTTTAATGGAGGAGGTGAGAGGGTAGTTAAAAACTTGGTATAATTACATATTTGATCTACAATATTTATATATTCTATTAATTTGGTCATAATTTAATTCTTAATTGGATTAAATAAATAAAAATTAAGAAAATATACTCTAATCAGGTAGTGACACGTGTAACCATCTAATTAGAGATTAAATTTATATTTTTTTAATGAAATTATGACCAAATTGATAGAATGTATAAATATTGAGGATCAATATGCAATTATACCAATTTTTTTAATTGCTTCGCACCTCCTCCGTTAAAAGTTAACGGAAAGTAGCTTGATTGAAATATTTAAATAGTTGAGTGGTTTGATTGATTAATTCGAAACATCGGTGGTCAAAATAAAATCTGACAATAATTAAGTGGTCACCAGTGTAGTTTACTCTAAAGTATAATAGAGCCATTTTTGGATCACTAATGAGAATTTCCATAACCTTTTGTAATCATTTGGCCAAATCAATTTGAGAATTAATAAGAATTATTAGCACATCAAAGAACAAGCCACTCACTAATGAAATTCTTTGACAAAGTTAAACAAGTAGTAATCTGTTTTTTTTTCTTTTTTGGATGAAATAACATAGAGAATATATATATATATATTGTCTAGTGATGAAGCAAGCGACGTGCTTTTAACAATGTAGCTCTAAACCTCCTAACATCAAGCTTCACATTCTGTTTATCCAAATACGTTGACCTTACTGCATCCCATCCCTTTTTATGAACTGATAATGGGTCTTTAATGATCAAATGGTCCGCCTTGTACTTACTCATTAGACTGCTCTCTTTTGCCTTTATTTTATACTCCAAGTACCTTAACTTCATATCCATGGCAGGTTCGGCAAAGTCTTTTCTAGCCAACCCATCAATGGATCCTAAAGGAACTATTTGAATTACGATTGCGTTATCGGGAAGGAACACCATGTTTGTTAATCCAGCTCCATGGATGCCCATCATTACATCACAAGAATTCACTGTCTGTGCAACACTTGCCAAGCTGGTCGATATATTCGGCTCTATTGTAACTACATTGTACCCCAAGCTCAAGGCCATTCTCGTTATTTTTTCGGTATTCATTAGCAATCGAGATCTTCTTCTGGATATGATCAACAGCCGAGGCCTTTTACCCGCATCATCCCTTGTCTTGATTGCTTTTTCCCTCTTCAATGAGTAGGTTCTTCTCAAAAACTGCCTGAAATCTTTCATTGATAGCTGATCTCGCAACTTGGATCGGTCAATACCGAGTTCCTGGTGATATTTAAGCCCAACGATCATCCTTGGGTAGCAATGTGTTTTCCCTTTTCGATCGATGTCAATAATGTCGTATCGAGATAACTTTCCGAGCATTTTTTCGAACTTGGCGATCCACCAAGGCCTGTTATCTGTCACAAGAAACTGCACTTCTCCATTAAATTGTTTAGAAGTTATGTATAGTGGGATCACAAGGTCACTGAAATCATGGAAATGGTTTCCCGAAAATCCACCGAGAGAGAAAAGGATGGCCGGAACACTTCGAGTAACGTCACAGTTAACGAATCCCATCGAAGTTACAGACCAGCTTTTAACAAGGTCCATGGCTGCAGTGTTTTCTTTTCTTACATAAGGCTTTACCGTCCAAGAGATCTTTCTGGTCCCTAACGAAACGATAGATATAGTGGAGGAATGCCCCTGAACTGCAACATCCCCATTGATATCGCAGTAATTCGATATCGGTTCGCAATTGCATGCACTGCATATTGGCTTGGCTGACGAGCTCTCTTCAACTTCAAAACCAGGAAAAAAAATACCATGAAGTTACTAACAAAGAATACATGGTTTTTGTTTACCAGATTGAATTGCTTACTGGAAATTGAGCTTTAAGATGATTATGTAGTTTGAACATACCTAGTTTCTGCAAAGGACTTGTATCCTTGAACATTGTAATTTGATTTCCAGCATCCATGGATGATTGTGATTGTATATGCACTGCATCATGAAGTTACTATGAACAAATGTCGACTTCAACATAAAAGTTGAAGAAGAAAACTTACAGAGAGATAATTGAGTGCAAAAATAAAACTTGAAACCGAAAGGAATGCTGAACGCCATGAACAAGCTTCCAACGAGTACTCCATATGTTAATCTCTTGTCTTTAAAATTAAACCAACCAAAGCTTCTGCACTTGCGCATTTTGCTCACGACTCATTTCTTTGATATCAATTCTCTTCCTTTATACCAATGCTAAACTGAAGAACTGTAATCCTTGAGCTTTTAACATGCAGGTAATTGGAGGAACGGAATTGCTGTAGAATGTTTGTTTCAGAAGGGACATGGTGAAATGGACAAGTGGAGTTGATTGTGTAGACAGTAATCATTTCCTCTCATTGATGCGTTTTGCTTCAATGTCAATTTGCTTTTCATGGAAGTTAACTGATGTTTTTGATTTTTCAACATTGAAAGCAACGAGCTAACTAAAGTTGTTAACAACAATTTTAAATGATGCAATTAATGTGGTTACTTCTATTTTAAAAAATGAGATCAGTGTGCATTTATTTAGTTTAGGCCCATCAATCTTTTTGCTTTACTATTTTCCTTTTGATTGAATTCAGCGTGTATTGTATGAAGGGCAAACCTATCTATGGTCAAATTATTTTGCTGACGTGGTATCCTATATGGACATGCCACGTCAGTGTTCCTATCTACGTGGACATACTATGTTAGCAGGAAACGTTAAATGTTAGTCGATTAACAATTTCTATCCAACCAAGAGTATTTTACCCCAAGATGAAACATTGAGGGTCAAATAGGAATGGCAACGGGGCGGGTTTTGCTTCCCCGTCCCCGTCCCCTCCCCGTTCCCCGTCGGGTTTTTTATCGGGGTGTCCTATCGGGGATTTTTTTTGTCCCGTCCCCAAACCCGACCCGAAATATTGTACCCGAACCCGAGAAAAACCTAGCAGCCGTAGTTTTCATAAAAAAATAGAAAAAACGATCACAAAAAATGAAAAATTAGTCTACATGATTTACAATTCAAACTCAATTCTAAATAATTGTCTAAACTCCGAAATAAAACACATACATAATTAAATACAAATTTGTTCCGATATTCAAATCATACAACGAAGATGCATACGTAATAGTAAGTCAAATAAAGTCATCCAAAATCGTTGTGCCACTTTTGTCACTTTCTTTGGTAGCTCCCTACATTGAGAAATTTATCAATAAATCAACCAAATTTTACTTTAATAATTAATATAAAAATATAAAATATTATATATATATATATATATATATATAATCGGGGACGGGGCAACCGGGGCGGGATACCTTGCCCCGTCCCCGAACCCAAAAAAATCCCCGAATTTACCCCGATATCCGACCCAATATTATTCAAAACCGACCCGACCCGAATTTAACCGGATTTCGGGTTTCTCCATCGGGTTCGAGTCGTTCTGCCATTCCTAGGGTCAAAGTGTTAAAAAGAGAACCGGGGTTAACATGATACTATTGTCAAATATTAGGGTCCAAGCCATTTTGACCTTATTCGACTCTTGAAACCCCTATTTTCCCTTTAGGACCCTTTAGATGACCCAGCCCACCTAAAATGAACTTTCAAGTCTAATTTAAGGTCCTAACCCTTTGAAAGCATTATAATACCCTAATGTTTGTTAATTTAATTTGAAGTCTAAAATTTTGAGAAATGACTAAAATACTTTAAGGAATATTGGTTAGACTTGGAGCCAAAATCTTGTGGAATGATCAAAAGACTCTTAAATCTAAAACATTTGATTTTAAGAACCTGATTTGATTTCTAAGTACGATTAATTTATGTTGATAACATAAACCTTGTTTATATGTAAATAAACGTATAGCGTTTATAAAAATATATACTTGTGTGTGATCATTGGTTGATTGTATCTAAATGTTAATAATTATGTGTGGCTTTGTGGTATTCAAGCAAATAACAATTTAACGACGACAATCAACTTATTATTTAATCTTTATAATACGAGTTTTTCTGGATATTTGATGATTTGATGCATGCATGCATGCATATATTTGTCAACTCTCATACAACTATCAATCAAATAGCATAATGTTTTATGATCAACTTAATTATGTGTGATAATTCTTTTGATTATATTTTTAAGTTTAATTAAATGTGTAATATGTAATCTGATAATAACTAATTAGATATTATCACGGTAACAAACCGGAAATTTGAAGAAAAAAAATATAATTGTAATTTGAGGTTTTAATTAAGTAATTTGGTGAAATTTGGAGACTAAATTGTAAGATTTTAAAAATTTGTAGCTTATTTTAGAGTTAAAGAAAATTCATAGACCAAGCCCTGAATTTACCCAAGAAATGTTGGTAAAGTTCGGTATTATATACGACAATTGGTTTCTGAAAAATCAGAAACCAATTGCTCCTAAATTGAGCCTAAACTCCCTTCCCCAACCTCAACTTCCGACTACGATCCCGACGTCATCCGAATTCCGATCGTCGTTTTAAAACCACCATCGTGTTCGTTATCGAGTGAGGAACAAATCCCTTAAGTTAATTGAAGTGAAATGCTGCCAAACGCCGTGAATTTCAAGTCAAAACATCGACGTTTATTTTTAGCTCAATCGCCGAGAAAATCTTAAATTCATCGCCGATCGTTGCTCCGTTTACGACGCCTCCCGCACCATCGTGTTCCTTGTGCCGTTCCGAGTCCGCCGGTGTCATCCTCGGTCTCCGTCTACGGCGGCGCGTGGGGTGGTGAAGCAGTCAAACTTTCCGATTTGTTGAAAACGAGCTCTCCGCGGTTCAAAAATTTGAACCGATCTTTGTAAGTATCTCGAAATCGCTCAAAATAATTTTTAGAAATTTTTTCGTGATTTTTAGAGCCCCGGAGGAGGTCCCACGCGCCACACGCACCGCCGCAGAACGAATGCATAACTGGAAAACCGGTTTTGAACTGATTTTGACCGGTTCGAACCGATCTGAACCGGTCCGACCCGACCCGATCGTTGACCCGACCCGACAGTTGACCGTTGACCGGTAATATTCTGGGAATTAATTCGATTTTGGTGCTATTCTGAGAATTAATTTGAAATGTTTGCTATTTTGGTAATTTTTTAAAAAAAAGTGATATGCTAGGAATTAATTAGAAATATGCTATTTTGGTAATTAATTTGAAAAGGATGCTATTTTGGTTATTATTTTAAAAAGGGTGCTATTTATGTAAAATGTTTGACAGCTTGTTGACCTCCTTTGACCAGAACTTTGACTGGCTTTGACCGGCTATTAAACGATCGTTAATCTTTTCTGAAAATACCTATCCTGACAGTTTTCGACATCCCGAATATGTTTTTGGGGTCCGTTTCATAAAATTCAAACCCAAAAGTCTCCGAATCGTCAGTCAAACCCGTTGACTTTGATTTTGACCAAGAATTCAAATTTTCGGAAAGTCATACTTTATGTTTTTCGACGTCTTGAATCTGATTCCAAAGTCTGTTTTACCAAATCCTGACCCGAAATTCCCGAATCGAGCTTGTAAACCCAAAAGGCTTAATATTTTAATATTTTGATTATTTAATTGAGATTTGGTTAAGGAATTGATTCAATAAAAAAATATTTTATGAAGGTACTCGTGTTTCACCTGAGCAAGGATCAATTAGGTCTGGTGTTGTCCATTCGTTAGATCAGCCTGAACCGCGTACTACGAGAATTACCCGTAGGTTTCCGTATATTATTTAAATAATATTTAGATTATTTATATTAGGTTTCCAATATGGATTTTTCCAATTCGTAGGAGCGTGATCGACAAAACCAGTAATAAGCTTCCCTATTTGATTTCTCAGACTGTTACAGGTGTGTTTCATGACAGTGTTATTTTACTGTTTTAAAAATATTGTTTTAGATTGGTGATAATTCATAATACTGTTATGACATGATACATGATACGTGATTCCTGAATATTGATTTCCTGATATCTGATTTCTGTATTTCGATATATGTTTTTTTAAAGCATGAATTATTCACCAATTTTACTTGAATACATACTTATTTATTACTGACATTGAGGGGGAAATTGTTGGAGGAAGAATACTTGCAGGCTTCTCGGCTTTGTGCTCAGGGCCTTACTGGACGTGACGGGGTGTATGGTTATGGGAAACCTCCATATTTTGTTCGTGACGGATGGGGGTAGTGTTCATATTTTAAATAAAACAAACATGTTTGATGAAATGATTTTACTGAAATATTTTATTAAAATGTTTTTATACATTGTTTGAAGCACACTGGGCTTTTTAGCTCATTCTATAGTTTTTACCATTTTTCAAATAATAGCAGACCGTAAGCTAGCAGATTTGGCATCAAGGGAGATCAACTACTTATTTTGTACGAACATATATCTCTACATGTTTTATGTTGTATCTGGTGACATGTATTTGCTGTCGTTTTGGATATATATTTTGTTTTGTATTATATTTAATGTTCTATAAGTTATATAAAAAAAACCTCTGAATGGGATATGTGACCACTTAGGTTTGAGTCTAACTTACAGACCGGGTCTGGGGGGTTACAATCACGTTTAGAAATAGGGATGGATCGGGGACAGTTGGGGCAATAATCTTTTTTTAGAAATTTTAAATTTTCATATAATTTAAATTTTTCTATTGATAATTTATTTTCACCTAATATAAAATTTTGTAGCCATTTCTATTTAGAAAGGAGTAAAATTTTTAGAGGACAAAGTTTTGGGAATGATTACTATTCAGAACAAATAAAATTTATCTAGGGTGAAATATTACGTACTTATTTATTGTCCCAAAAGTAGTAAAGATAATTATGGAAGCAACTGTAAAATTATCTAACCCAAGTTAATAAAGTAACTTTCTAATGCAATCTATTTTATGAATTCATTCATACGAAATTCCAAAAGCCTTCAAATTTACCTCTTGAGATTAAAGTTTGATCGTTTGACATGGGAATGGAAGAGTTCTAACTTTTCTTGTTTTACTTGGACCTTACGAGATACATAGTTTTAGTTAATTTCTTTGTTTGGTATGAACCAAAAGCCCTCAATGATAAGTTAATTATTATCTTATATTTACCTCAAAAAATTGCTCCGTTTAATCTTTGATTTACGTTGGACACTTTAAGTATTTTAATGTGTCTATTTGTGTTTGTACGACTTTTATGATATTCTTTTTACTATATTATTTAAATCAGACAAATTTTATCAACGATAT